ACAATACAATTGCGGGATAGACAAATACCTGTTACAGCTAAGTCGATACATGATGTACTGGGGCTGCCAACGGGAGGTTTAGACTTGAATCTGGTTGAACCATCCAAATGCAACGATGCAGTAGTTTCTGCATGGCGGAAACAATTCAGTAAAGATAGAATGAGGCCGAAGGACGTGATGAATGTTGTTCAGCAATCCGATGACGCGGGTGTGATGTTCAAGATGAGTTTCCTAGTCATCATGTTGAATACGCTTGCAGAATGCAGCAGAGTCGGTGTTTGCAATTTGGGGTTCCTCAAACGCATTCACAGCTTAGACATGATCCCAAGAATTGACTGGTGCAAATACGTATATGATTGCATAGGCACGAGCAAGATGTGTTGGAAAAGAGACAGTTTTTTTGTCATTTTACGCAGGACCCCTAACCTGTTTAACGGTAAGAACGTTGATTCGTGACAATATATAAATCAACAGTTGTTTGTTATTATTTAATCAACTGCTATGTTTACTTTCTGCAGATGTTATATGTTCAAGCAACAACATGTGACGGCATTCRGAACCAACAACAAGCATATCCATTGAGAACTTGGACATTGGATTTACTGAGGAGAAGACAAGACTTGGAGCTTAGCAGAGGGGGTTTTGGATACACAAAATTGACATGTACTAAACCCATTGAGCGAGGAACGTACGATCAAACAATTCTAGATCATCACACAGCAGAGGATAGACCTGAGTCTAGCAAAGCCAAAGAAGCAGGAAATCAAAATGTTACTAAATAGGTTACTTCAATGATCTCATTCAATGTTCTTGCTCCTTTGTACATATTCAGTCAAAAATTATTTTGCATGTTATTCTGCCTTCCGATTGTGCATAATACCTTATTTTATGCTGGTGTTTTTGGCCAATGTATGAACACAAGTTAATAGTTGATCTGTTAATTCGGTGGGGCGTATATGGTTGTGTATATGTGGACTACAAAAAATGCACATATAGTACAAAAAATGAACAACTGTTAAATTATGTTCCTATTGTGTTCATGTTGTTCATGTGGTTCATGTTTGTAATAAATGTGAATATACGGGCCGAAATTAACAGCTGGTAATGTTGTTTTTTGGGGGGTGAAAGTATGGGTATAAATGTGCGAAACTTCATCATTATGTGTTCATAATGTTTGACCTATTTTCACAATCTGTGTAAATGTGTAAACCATCATAAATATGTGTCAATGTGTTCACCAGCTGTGTAAATGTGTGTTCACATGCTGTGTAAAAACTCACAATTCGAGTTTCATGCAATTGAATGTGAAAGTTGATCAACCCGTTGTGTGCTTAACATACAGTTGTGTCTGATTGTTATCGTCAAACACACAACCTTGAATTAATTATATATGCAGCTTGCACATACAACACTGTTACGTGTTTTTTCTGCTTTTACAGATTGTGGATGGTTTTGCAGGAATGCGTAATTATGATGGGTGGGCGAATCGCAGAGTTGTTTTCTGCAAGGAGGGAAGCAGACACAATGTTGCAAGCATACATAAAACGTTTTCCCGGTGAAAGATGTTTCGACCAATTCAAACAGAAATTGGCGAGAACGTTTAAAGGAAGCATGTGGGAGTGCCGAAACGATGAAGGTCAACCTAAAGAAAAAGAATTGTCACCTGTTCATGTAACACCTCCAAAGATGACGACCACATCCGACCCGGCAATGTTATCACCTTTATCACAGTTCTGGACAAGCCCGACTGTGATTGCCGAGGTTGACCGGGCGTCAAATGAGAGAGCTGCTATCACAACAAAAGGAGTAGGATGTGGCACAGACCCGAAGCAGTTTGAAAGGGTGAAGATGATATCGTTAGAAGCACCATTGGAGAGTGTTGGTAGGGTTCGAAGCAGAGGCATCGATGAATGTGAGCCTCGTACAAGTAAACTACGTAGACGTGCACAAACAGGTAATCGATATGCCTGTTTTTCGTTTGTTAGTAACGTCACCTCGTTCCCATGTTTATGACGTATATAACAAAGTGTTTCACGCATTGTTCATTAATAGGTTGTGTAAGAACATCGTGATCACGTTGGTTCATAGGTTGGCCATGTATGAACACAAATTAACAAATTGCAAACATAGTAAAAAAAATTCCCCGCTGCTAATTCACGTGCATATCGTGTTCATAGCGAATAATACTGGTTCACACATAAAGAAAAGGTGCACATATGTACCAAACGGTCTCAYACAAAATTCATCACCATGTCGTATAAGAACATCATAGTGATATAACAAACAAATAACAAGCATTTTATAAACATCATTTGCATGCGCGTACACAATTAGATATACGAACAGAGATGCCCATATAGATTCTTGATTTTATACTATCATTCGTGTATCAACGTCCGAGACATTGATTCATATGCAAAAATCGAGGCGCCAGCTTTCGATTTGAGAATAAGTCCATCAAAGGAAGCGGTCATTGCTTGTATTGATAGTTCGAAAGCAACAGGTGGACAAGAAAATGTGAGATCTGAAATTCCAAAAAGAGATCTGAAACTAAGTTTTAAACTACGATCACCGTACATTACACGTGTGGTAACGTTCGAGGTGAGTAGTGACGAAAGGAAGTTGCAAGATTGGATATTACGAGGCGTAGGCGGGATTTTGTAAGTTACATTGTCTACTATTTAAGTAATATTTTGGTCAAATATGTATTATTGTCATTTGGGATGGTACTACCTAACGAATAAAACATGTAGTGAGCCGATTTTCATGACGACAAAAGGGAAAGCTATAACACATCAAACAATGCAATCCCTTGTATCTCAAAGCGTGGTTGGCTCAGAAATTATCGATGTGTGGTCAATGGTGCTTAACAGAGAGTAGAGGATGAGGAGCAATGAGTCTCCTAGGCGCTATTTTGTACCAGCGGACATTTCGGTAACAGTATATTAATGAATGTCGATGTAACCGCCATATAAATAAATTGTAGTCTATAATTAACTGTATTCGTTTTATTTTTTTGCAGATGGATGCTATTATTAGGGATGAAGATTTGAATGCTAACCAGAGGTATGATAGATTCTGAAAGAACATCACATGTTGCATGAACAATGACAAAGAATTGATCAGTATGCGTAACGTTGATCTGGTAAGTGTTTTTTCATTCGATCGAAACTATACGTATGATATTTAAGCATTAATTCAAATGGTATCAACCAGACACGGCTCTTCAAAAATGTAGGTATTCTTCCCGATAGTAGAACCATTGTTCTATTACGTTGTAGTATTCGATCTCAAGCACCTATCAATAGCCATAATAGACAGCTAGACTCGTGATGGAAAGGTCGATGATATCTATGGCTCCAGCACTGTAGGCTTGGTACAGCAACTTTAAATTTTGTTTTTGTTATGATCATTATGGACATGTATTTACTTTGTCATTCTTTGTCATGTATGCAGCAAGATATGATGATTATGCACCTACTAAAAGAGGGACATGGGGCGTGAAAAGTGTACGCTGAAATGGATCAGGACCATATAAAGATAAGGTGGCAATTACGCGAGAAGACAGTTGACGCTGGTGTTATGTTAATGCGGCACATGGAGACATTCTTTGGAGGAGACGTAGTGAAATAGGACTGTGGGTTGTATAAGGAGAGTACAAAACAGAAGAGACAGTTGAAGGATCTCAGAACCAAATACTGTTCGAAGATGMTACTAAACGATGTGAACATCCGTAAGACCTCTATCGTATATGATGTAGAAAGGTTCATTGCGATGGAGACATCGTACAATGCTAGGAAATATTGTGATGCACGACAGAGTAGTCGGGGGAGGAAATAGATGTTTGCTTATTGTGTGGTTACACATTTATGTTAACTGGTTTTTTGTACCACTTGTTTTTTGGATATTTGTGGTCGCGTAACGTTTTCAGACATAAACGTACGTCATGTCTGTTCATACATTTTCCGTATTTGATCAATCAAATSTTTTTTGATGTTTAAATTTGCACCAGGTTGATATAAACAAATCTATATTGCGTTATCGTGACAATGCACATCGCCTGAAACTGTTTCACATTATAAATTGTAGTATGACATTTATTAATTTGTATGTAGTGTACACATTATCAGTTGAATGATTGTTGGGCATGAACAAAAACAAATGATGAACATGAATACACATTAATTGGAACATGTTTACATTGTGTACAACGAAAAGGTGCATATCATTTCATCTAATCTCACGCACACACACATCTTAGTGGCATGGTTTTTCTTGATGTGTAGTTTGGTTGTTATTACTAGCCTGTTTTTTTGTATAAACAGTGCAAGTGGTATTCTCACATAAGTTTAGTACATTTTCGGGACATCTGGAATAACTTGTTTGATCTAATCCAAGTAAATCAACAACAAGATGTTACTAAACATGGTTAGCCATCAACGATAAATTGAACACTAAATCATAACTTCAAACACACATAATAGAATAAATAATATAAACGAACAACATACAACTAATATACAAAATATATATGCCATTGACTGATATAAGAACCTAGATAATGTTAACCGCAATCTAGTTAATGTCAACTACTATCTACTTCGGCGTTTATTTTTGCAGCAAATCAAAAGAATTAAAACCAAAAGACAACAGTTTTATTATGAAGACCATCCGGATACAAGAAACGTCAACATATGAATCATATCCAACAATACAAAAACATGACAATATTGGATGAAGTTCACTATTGTTCACTAAAACACTTACCAAATAAGATATTGTCGGTAATTATGAACACCGCACTTACGGCGTTTTTTATTACTCCGTACTGAAATAACAACTAGTGACTAAGACATCTATAGATTGTAATAAAATGAAAAGTAGACGATGTATGTCAATCATAAGATAACATAAACCAAAATCAGAGCATTACGAAATGTAAGATTGACAACAACGAAACACCCCCAAAACGATGATATTTCCGGTACTTSGACAACTGATTACTCTATCAATTCGGGGCAATTACGTGAGTCATGGCCGGTACGTTGGCCACATGTCGCACATTTTCGACGGGCTTTCTTGCTTATAGACTGTATTTTCTCAGACACGCTTACCAACCTCTTACCAGAACCACAACCCTTGTTCCTTATTCCAGATGGTGGTAGGATGTCCACATCATCGGGTATGGAAACACCAAGGTGATCTCTGATCGCGTCCAACTTTTGTTGGGATGGGTCTTCATACGGTACTTCTTTCTCGATATCAACCATGAAATTGTCGAGATTCTGCTCCAATCTAGTCAGTATCGATTTATCATTCCAGGCGATGCTTATAATGTCGTCGACTTTGGAGTATACATCAATTATTGACTTATCCTTCTCCGCATCCACCTCACCGTATCGAATCTTAGCGGATTGTATCTAGACAGGGACCAAATTTTGTTTCTATCGACGTAAAACATATTGGTTCGGAATACTTTCAACTTCATCGTTTATTAGAACCTTAAATGCATGACGACACAGATAACCGTTACGCGTGAATAGAATGCACTCGCATTCGACCGTGTTGGCTGTGTAGTTTCGGGAGACCTAAAATAGTTACGTAAGTTTCCGAATAAACAACAGTTTATATAAACCAACGAATTTAAAAGACATTAATATCCATGAAAAGGAATATTGTACCAGGTACGTGGTGTTGACAGACGATTTCTTTTTCTTGTGTCTTATAATGAACATTTTGAGATCACCCCGACATTCGCCAATCTCTATACTACAAAATCATACAGCCTTCTTTATTTCCTTTTGGATGTCAAAGAACACATTTCGACTGTATACCCTTGATGCTTGACTTTCTAAGCACAATGGAGTAAACAACTTTGGATACGTTGTCCTCGTTATTGTTTCATGCACAGCTTGCTTGTACCTTTGTTTCTCTATAGCAACGTCATAATTATTGAGGAACTGAACCAAATCAAACCAGTATGATTTGTATATGTTAATATACGAATTCGAACTCTCAGATCTTGATGTCGTTTTCATAAGACCAGACATCGGTGTGTCCTTATAAAACGTCGGAATCCATGATGCGCATATTTCATACATTTCTGTGAACCACGGATCACGACCTAAATTGTATTGCTCGATCATCTCTTGCCACTTGGTCTCGAATTCCGATGGGCCAATATAAATGTTCCACACGAGCTTGTTTATAACCTTATTGAACAGAGGATCTTGATTTAAAGCGACACTGATCTGCAGACGTATCAATCACAATATGAACCTATGAACAGTGACGTTTACTTATGAAATAGAGTTGTTTATTAAAGAGTAATTACCTTAGAAGGCACTTTCTTCATGATGTGCCACATACATAGTCGGTGCTTAGCTTCCGTAAACACCAACGGGACGGCTTGCTTCATCGCCGAACACTGCTCCGTAATCACAAAAACTGGTTGCTTCTCATGGCATTTTAGGAAAGCTCTTAGAACCCATGTAAAGTTTTCAATTGTCTCACCACTTATYAACGCCGATCCGACAACAACCGAAGCTTTGTGATTGTCAACCGCCAAAAAGGGAACAAAAATCATCGCATGCCTATTAGGTAAAATAAAATATTAAAAAAAACTGACGAGTACCATACATAAAAAAACAGATTCAACTTGAAAATCTTACTTGTTGGTGCGAAATGTCCCGTCAAACGAAATTACATCCTCAAATTCTTTGTAGTTAACTCTAGCGACCTCATCTGCCCAGAAAATGGCACCCAACTCCTGATCATTGCACTTGTACTCGAAAAAATAACCGGGAACAATATCTCGCCTATTGGATAGTTTATTGATCAACATTTTTGCATCTTTTTTCCCAACACATGCAACTGCATCTCCCTTGAAATTCTTAAAGTCGATCTCAGAATATCGATTGTGCTCAAACCCACCATTTAATACAGTTTGTATACGGTGAGCCTTAATCGCACCAACTTTGTAGCTCGAGCTATTCAGGACATTTTTGTAATCCGTATACCTCATTTGTCTATTTTTCCTTGAGAAACGTCGATCGTTAGTATTGAATAGCGCATGATTATGTGCCTCGACAAACTCATATATCTCGTAACCAGATTTATCCTTTTTTCAAATGGATTTTTATGCATGCTAAACATCCATACCGTTTAAGGTTCGTGTTACGATATCTCCTTTCACCAGACTGCATATCCATGGAATCAAAAAACTTTTTGTTTGGTGTTCCCTCCCTATTACATACAAACCATCTTGTTTGTATGTCTCCATTCTTGTTTGTTTTTTTGGCGTGCAGCCGAACATCAAATCCAGCATTGTCCGCGTATGCCCTATACATCTTATCCGCTTCATTTATAGTTAAGAAGTGTGTGTTGATCTTTGGTTTAAGCTCGTCATCAACCTTGGGGATAAAAAACTGATTTCCTTGAGAACACTCCTCGACGGCGTACTCCGGTTCATGTTCTGATATTACAAGAATAGGAACACCTGTTGATAAAATCATATATTGTAGCATCACTGAACAGTGTGCACCTTTTCGTTCAATGACCGAAATATGAACATGGGAACACACCAACAAATGAATGAACTAACTACACGAACACACATATGTGAACAATTGGACGTTGATGATGATTATCGTAAAATAACATGCTAACATGTTAACATGTACATACTCTAATGTCATGAAAAAATTTGGAATGATGTTATTGTATGACGTATATAAACACGCTAAGAGATGCTATTACCCACCCATTAATATGAACAATTGCAAACATCTGGAACACACCATGAAAAAACACAAATTAAAAATTTTAATGTAAATTTTTCAAAAAGAAGACCATGAACGAATGGTAAACATGAACATGAACCATATGTATATGTACATATATGAACATGAACAGGAACCGTATGTTGACATTACCAAATGAACAAGAGCCATGTATAAAAACTTGTATRTTGACATTACCAAAAATGAACGAATGATGAACATGAACGAATGATGACYATGAACATGAAYGTATGTATATGTATGACGTATATAAACACGTAGTTAACGATTTTTATACGTTAGTTGAAAATGCACMATGGTGATAGAATATCAAATAAATAGTATGAGATGAACATTAAAAAACACACGACATCGTAATGAACATTATTTCGATCGATATGAATATAAAAAAAAATAAAAAAAACTATTACCAAGACATTCGGTTTGGTTGATTTCATGACTTCCCGACCTCGAAATCGGATTGTCTTCATAAACCATTGTAATCTCTGCGTTGTTGTCGATTTATTTTCCTTTGCGTGAACAAGATATGAACATAAATGAATTTTATAATTAGTTGACCACTCGTAGTTAACGATTTTTATACRTGAGATGAAAATGCACCATGGTGATAGAATATCATTTTAATATTATGAGATGAATCAATAAAAAACACAACACATCGACAACGACATGCTTTCGATCAATATGAATATAAAAAAAATGAAAATCTATTACCAAGACGTTCGGTTTGATTGATTTCATGACTTCCCGACCTCGAAATCGGATTGTCTTCATAAACCATATGTATATGTACATATATGAGCATGAACAGGAACCGTATGTATATGTACATGTACACGGACAAATGAATGAACAAGAGCCATGTATAAAAACATGTATGTTGACATTACCAAATGAACGAATGATGAACATGAACGAATGATGAACATAAACATGAACGTATGTATATGTATGACGTATATAAACACGTAGTTAACGATTTTTATACGTTAGTTCAAAATGCACCATGGTGATAGAATATCAAATAAATAGTATGAGATGAACATTAAAAAACACACGACATCGTAAT